TTGTTTATGATTTAAATTATATGTCATGTCTTTGTTTTTTATGTGTGAAATTTATTTTGTATCTAAAATGCAACAAATGGCATGCACCGCCTGCTCGCGCGCGCTGTATTTTAGCGCGGTTGCTGGAACCAGCGCTGCGCGCCGCGCCAAACCTGATGATGGACACGCCGCAAACTAGTTTTTAACGCGGGCGGCTGTTGAAGATGCTCTCGTGCGAGTCGAGTTTTACCCAACACGAGCGAAAAAGCTGCCCTCGTCAGCTATCTTTCAACTACGCCTTTGGAAGGTTACCGGAGCCAGGAGCGCATGCATGGCGAACTGAAACTGAAACTGAAACTGCACGTTCACTGTACAGTCGCTGGTTGGTCGATGAGGGATCACACCAGATCATATCGACTCGGGATTGAACTGAGACGCCGCGCATGCACCGGCGCGTGCTTTGGTAAGTTTCGGCGCGCAGCCTTGGGAGCTTACCCTGTCACCCGTTTTGATGCCCGTGATGAGCGTGCTGCTGCCTAATAAAGGCCGAAGGGAGCTGCGTGCTTTGCCCCTGTCTCGCTGGTCCAGAAAGCGGAGCCTGCTTGGATTCCATGGAGTTTGCGGGGCTACGGAGAGGTGAGGATGACGATCCTGCGAATCAGATGTCAGCTTGTTTTGAATAATTTGATTGAAAAAAGGTTCTGGATATGTATTTTCTTATAATTTTTATTCAATCTGGCAAAATAAATAAATCAAAATGACCAGCATGCTAGTATTCATTTTCTAGAATTTTCAATTTTCTAAACACTTACATTTTCTGGGTCAAATTTTGACCGAAAATGGTCCTGAATATGTGTTTTCGTTGTATTTTTTTTCTTTTTGGCATAAAAAATCAAACTTTCCAGGACTGATCAGCGTAGCAGTGTTCATTTGTGATGTTTTTTTTTCCAATTTTTTCTGAACATTTTCATCTTTTAGTCAAATTTTTGTTAACACTTCGAAACCAATCAAAACAAACCACAAAACTGGTTCGATGGACACGAGGTTGAAAGCTGTCTAGTTTTGAGAGTTTAGGGTTGTAATGTAAATGGTTTTGGAGTTTGATGTTCTAGATTAGACTAGGCCATGAGTTGAGGCTTGAAATATGCATTTCTATCTTCCTCAAACCATCGTCTCCATCACTGCTCTTTGCATCTCGTCGTTCATTATAATCATCTAGGACGAAAAAAAATATGTTCAAACTCGCATCAGTTGTAACTTGATTTTTACATTCAACCAACGGGAAGAGGTTATTGAAGGGCAGAATGGACCTGAAAAATTGCACCACAAAATTCTGCAACAACAACAACAATAATAATAATAACAATAATAATAATAATAATAATAACAATAATAATAATACTAATGATAATAATAATAATAATAATAATAATAATAATAATAATAATAATAGTAATAATAGTAATAATAATAATAATAGCAAAACTAGAGCCCACCCAAATGTCTCTTGATCTAAATGGAGTTGATAGATTTTCTAATGATTTATGGAAACCTTTCCCACTAGAAAATTTTCATTGGATGAGCCGAACATCGATGTTTTGTTTGGCACGAAGTCAAACAAGGCTGCAATATTGGTGGCTTTAATGCAAATTTTTACCAAAACTATTGGGAGGTAGTAAGATGGATTTGTATGAACTCTTCCAAGATTCTATGATTGCAATTTTGACATTAATAAACCGAATTATGGATTTATAACTCTGGTGCCTAAAGGAAAGAACACAAACAAAATTATAATCCTACTTGCCTTCTGAATGTAATTTTTAAGATCATTACCAAAGTATAGATCAACAGGTTAATTAAAGTTGTTTGGGTTGTAATAAGAGACTTGTAGACAACTTCCCTAAAAGGCATATATATCATGGAAGGAGTTTCCATTTTACATGAAATTCTAAATGATCTCCATAAAGGGAAAAAGATTTCAAGAAAGTTTTTGGGAGAATTTAATCGACATTCTTATCACCGATACTACTGTGATAAATGCCGTTCTAAGTGGAAGTGCGGAACGAGAGGTTGGAAAAATTGGTATGTGTAAGCGAGACAGTTGGCCTTTCTCTAGTGTCTAGGCAGTGCCTAAGCATCCTAGCTAGGCCCAATCTAGGCCTTCATATAGTTGTTTCTATCAGTGTTTCTTTATGGTACTATATGTGTATCGATATTAATTTAGGGCATATAACTAAGTTCATTATCAACTAATGCCATTGGAATATGTCCTGTTCGGCATACGAGTGCAATATGGCATGATTTCTCGCTCGGGTAGACAATTTCTTACTTGCCCTACCTAGACTTCAACTTATGACCTAGGCAAGGCGTTTGGCCATCACCTAATGTCTAAGCATGCCTAAGTGCCTCCTAGGCACTACCTTTTCCAACAGAGATCAAACGACTGGATTATACACATTATCTCTGGTGGTAAGGTTAAAGTTGTGGTTGATGGTGAGATATGACCTTATTCCACTACTTTTGGGGGATTAATATGGGAAAACCCACTATTTTCATTGTTGTTTGACCTTGCAAATGACGCCTTATCAATTTTAATTGACTAAGTTGTACATATAATAATCTAATCACTAGACTTTCCGCCAATCTTGCAACAGAAGGTACACAATCCTGCAATATGCAGATAATACTATCCCTCTGTTGTAAGATGGCCTGGAGCATGTTAGAAATATCAAATTTCTCTTGTCTCTATTTGTGCAGATGCCAGGAATTAAAATTAACTTTCATAATATCTATTGTCTGGACACTAAAAAAAATCACTTACTTCAAGGACCTTTACACCTACAAAACTGGGAAATTACCTTTGAAGTGCTTGGGATTCCTATTGATGAAAATAGAAAAAGTTGTTGGCAATGTAGAAGTCTTCCTATTGATGGAAGAATCATCTTGACCAACTCCTCTTTGACTAGCACACATCTTTATATGCTTTATTTCAATGGAACTATTATGGGAATCAAAGAAAGAGCTAGCACATGTAGGGTTATATTTTCTGCAGTGGAGACAAGAACAAATATGAATATCACCTACTGAAATGTTCTCAAGTTTATATGCCTAAAGAGCAACATGTTTTAGGTGATCTTGAATTTCGAAGAATGAGGATTGTTTGATTGCCTAAATAGTCATGGAAATTGTTTAATACCAGACGTCATTATTGGCAGGATTATCGGTTTGACAGATATGTCGCACACTTAGATGAGTCAAGTGAGATCCAAGCAGGGGTTGATGGAATCAAACATCTTTTCTAGGGCTATTGCAATGTCCAAGTCGATAATGGGAATATTGTGCATACAACCTTTGAAATTGGTGTTTAGAACATTATTTTGTGGAAAACCATTGGCAGGGGCTAGGTTAGAGCAATTTCAAGGTATGATAGATTTATGTGTAGTTTTCATTAACATAGAAAGCGAAGATAAACTAGTTTGGTTGTTATGTGAGTTCATACTGAAATATTACTACTCTATCGTTCAAACTGTAGGCTATGAGCCTTACAAGTTCTTGTGAAAAATCCTCCTAGCGGTTTGGTAGTGAATTTTAGTTGTTTTGGTTTGTTCTCTATGTCAGCCAATTTTCTTCCAGTTTTCCCTTTTTTCCTTTTTGTTTCTTATTCATTTTTAGATTTTTTTTTCTAAAATGTTCACAACTTTAAAAACGTTCCTGTTTTCTTAAATCAGTATTTTTGTTAATAAACATGCACATATTTGAAAAATTATTCACCTTTTCATTAAAAATGTTCACTAAATTTTAAGACATTTCTCTAATTTTAAGACTTGTTCCCAAAACCTTCAAAAAAGGTTCACCCATTTGTGTGAAATATTCTAAAACTTTCGATTTTTAATGTTTTAAAACAAATCCGACTAAGAACAGGAGTAAACCGAAAGAAACATAAGAATGACTTTTGTTAAACCCAAAAGAGTACAACATCTGGTACATAAAAAGCGAGAAACGGCGGACAGGGCCAGCAGCCCATAACAGGGCCCCGTGATGCAGTCCTCCTATATGTCGCGAGGAGTGTTATATAGGAGGTTCTTTGGTTTATCAGTGATTTTTCTTTTATCAAGTGTATTTTAGTTTTTTCGCTTCGATGTACTCTTGTTAGTTACAACACGATCAACGGCACTTGGTGCGCTGTCAGCCGCCCGCCACGTGTTGCGCTCTGGGCGCTTCCTTCGGATTTGTTTTTTATTTATTTTCCGCACGCGTTTTTGGCTTTTGAAACGTTTTTTTAAGTTTTTTTTTGACGTTTTGGTTTTTCACCGGTCTTTTTTAACATTTGGACAACAAAAAAGAAATTGCGCGAAAAAAACACGTTTTTTTTTTCTTGCGCGAGAGTCACGGTTTTGCTTTCGCGAGAGTGACGGCCTTGCCTCTCGGAAGGTTTTCTGTTTTTTTGCTTCCGCGAGAGGCACGGTTGTGCTTTCGCGAGAGTCACGGCCATGCCTCTCGTAAACAAAAAAAAAACGCGTTTTCTGCTTTTTTTTTTTTCCTTCCGCGAGAGTCACGATTTTGATTCCGCGAGAGGCACAGTTGTGCTTTCGCGAGAGTCATGGCCGTGCCTCTCGGAAACTGAAGAAAACATGTTTTCTGTTTTTCTGTTTTTTCCTTACGCGAGAGTCACGATTTTGCTACTGCGAGAGGCACTCCTCAATTAGTGATTTCGTCAAACTCCTCCAGAATGCAAGAACAAACAAAAAAAAGTCCACCCTAGACATCAGCCTATTAGCATCGCGCCCACCGCACACCACGAGACTAATTTCTAACCTTCTGCTTTCAAGAGATTATAGAACAAAATTGACGACCCTTGCTGAATACAGCTACACCGAATGATTACAGTAGTCTCTCTCAGTAAAAAAAGAGAGAGAATGATTCATGTACTAGCATTTCTATATCTTGTGTTTATTCTTTGTGGACTCCTGTCCTGTCAAATTTGTCTGATGTGTGCGCAACCAGCCTTGTCCGTTCCCGTTTCATCTTGCTTCTTGGACGGTCGGCAGCTCGACGTTTCCTCCCCAGTTCCGCACCCGCTCCTCTGCCAGCATAGCCTGCATCACCACCACCCAAACTTAGTGCATCAGAAATCCAAGATCCAGATGCAACTACGACCGAGTTACTTTTCAATTGTTGGAACCAAGTATGTGCCAAACGTGTTGAATTGCTGTTACCTCTTTTTGCCATTTGGTTCTGAAGAGGATCACAAACAGGATGACGGTCTGCAGAACCGTGCCGGTCAGCATCCCCACCCAAATCCCCTGCACGTATACAAAATCAGTAATAACATTTCACCTGGAAAGGAAAAAAATCAGAACACGGCGAATCAAGAGTGTGGACTACTGTCTGTCTTTGCCTTACTGTTGCGTTAAGCTTCAGCTTGAAGCCGAAGACAGCTGCAAGGGGCAGGCCGATGAGATAGTAGCAGCCGATGTTGACCCAGGCGACCAAGGACTGCCACCCAGCTCCAATGGCCACCCCTGGAATCGCCAACGATGATCACACACGTCACATCGTCGATTTGCTTTCACCACATTTACTTTCCAGATAACGTTCTTGATGATGACTGGTGAGTATATCTACCTGATAGCACCGGCTGGATGCTGTTGAGGCCTATGGTGGCACCCAGAAGGTACCCCAGGTTTGCGGCCTCCTTGACCACTAGCTCGTCGTCGGTGAAAAGCCTCGGCAGCTGCTTCCTGGCCACGAGGGTGACGAGCGTGAAGACGAGCCCGACGGCGGCCGACGTGGTCACCGCCACGACGACCGAGAACTTGGCTGCCTTCGGGTGCTTGGCGCCAAGTTCGTTGGCCACGCGAACACTGGCCATACCAGAAACGAGACACAGGATGGGTCAGGGTCATCATTTCTTGGAATGTCTTGAGAGTTGAGAGACAGGAAAGGGGGAGGAGAACAGAGCAACTGCGTACCTCACTGCGGCATTGAAACCGACGGATACCATCAGTGTCCAGATGTTGTAGTTCATGCTGTTGCAACAGAATTCGCAAATTAAGGAGATGTCTCAGAACAAGCACTGTCAGCCAGAGATTATCTCTGTTCATTTCAGGATGAGAATATCACCAAAGAGAAACAGGTGCACAGACCATATGGAAACGGCCCCGACTTGAATCTCTGGGTTCTTCAAGCAACCCACCAGAATGATTACTGCCGTGTAGTACCACATCTCTAAGCTGCAGCACAGAAATCACTCCTACTCAGAAGAAAACACAATTGCTGATGGGTGACCAAAGAATTTCGTCTGTATGTATAGATACTAATTAGAGCAGGAAGCAACGGAAGTACGAACCAGAGCATGACCGCGGACGCGAGGGAGAGCCTGACGAAGCCGCCGAGGCTGGCGAAGGCCTTGCGCGAGAACCCCGTCCACGCCTCCGGGAAGGACCCGCCGACGACGTACACGAACTGCGCCGCGTTGATGAGCCACCAGGAGGCGTTCCCGATCATGGCCGCGCCCAGGAGGCCGCGGCCGAGCCTGGCCACGACGACCCAGTTGAGCAGCGCGTGCACGCCGACGGCGCCGCCGGAGATGAGCGTCATGACCCACACCCGGCTCTGCGCCTGGTAGAACTTCTGCATGGGGAAGTTGACGGCGTAGGCGAAGAGCTGCGGCACGCACCAGCGCGCGTACCGCCCCGCCACGGCGGAGATCTCCGGGGACTGCCGGAGCAGGCGGAGGATGGGGTCCGTGAACATGTAGACCGGGAGCAGGGCGACGGCCGTGGCGAGGCAGATGATCCACGACCGCTGCATGTAGACGCCCAGAGTGTGGAGCTGCCCGGCCCCCACCGCCTGCCCGCACAGCGTCTCCAGGGCGCTCCCCATGCCGAGCTGCGACGCGGCAACAGTCAAACCACATGGTTCTAGCTAGTTTAATAAGGGAATCAAAATAGGAAGGGGATTTGTTGGGTAGCTGCCTACAAGGAGCCCGAAGCCGAGGCCTTCGATGACGCCGATGACAATGGAGACGGCGGCGAGCTCGACCTTGCCGATGTGGCCGACGAAGGCGACGGTGACGAAGCCGATGAGGAACTGGAAGACGCCGGTAAGGATCACCGGCCCAGCGATCTGCCACAGGGTCTTGCACTCATCCGGCAAGGTCTTGCGGCCGGCCTCCGCCTCCGCCTCCGCCGCCGGTGCCACCATCTGCTCAAAATTTGCTGGCACGAACTACGTACGTTGAACCCCTCGCACCTTTTTCGGTTTTGTACATCCGTACGGGTCAAGGTTGGGTTCCCCCCACGTTTCAGCGGGTGCTGACACCGAGCAGGGGTCTTGCTTGCCGTGCGCGCTCGAGGTCGCGCGGCGTGGACTCCGCATGCCGATGCAGTTGGTGTTGGCCGCAGCCATCGTGGATATGGGCGGCGGCCGTCATGGCGAGAGTCCAACACTGGAACACCAAGCTCCACGTGCGCACTACTAACTGTCTAGGCTTCGCTGAGTATGACTTGTGAGCGGGACGTGCTGGTCAAGGTTTGCAGCTAGGCAGGAATTGCAAATGTCATATGGGAGAAGAAACCGTAATTTTGTCAGCATCCTGAGCTCTCGGCAATTCAACATTTGCTTTGCTTCTCGGAGACACCCTTTACTGCTGAAGCCAAACAGTACTAGCACTTCTCGTTGTCGTGTCATGTTAGCTTTATTTATCAAGTGGCACTAGCATACTGTGGATAGGCGCGAGCGAGCTACTACTTGACTGTATCACACGGCGAGCATGAATACTCTACTTGACTGTACCACACGGCGAGCATGAATGCTCTCTTCTCTTCTTGTGAAAGTAAGTGCAGAAACCGGGAATCCGTTGGTACTCTCGGGAACGCGCGCTCCTGCATGTAAAAAATATATATTTATGTGTAGACTTCGATATTATATGTGTGTACGTCAAGTTTCACAGAAAATCGGCATCTTTTGTGGCGTGTGTAAAAAGACAAAATGGTGTATGTGAAAAGCATTTTTTAATACCGGATTTTGTCTTTTTCACAAGCGACATATAAGTTGTCGGTTTTTTGCAAAACGACTTTGTGAGCATGTGCAATATCGAGATGTATGCGCCAATTTTTTATTTTTATTTTTTTAACATTTTAAAATATGTTTAAAACACATTTTAAAAATCAGGAGTGCATGCTCCCATGTGCCAAAACGCCACACTCGTGTCGTGTCGTGCAAGTGCTAGACAGAATCTCACTTGAAGAAGCCTTAGGTTATCTTCAACGGCAACGCCAACCCACAGAAAACCTCCCGCGTCCGTCCGCGCATAGAGGACCAGTCCACGAATACGGATGCAAGAGGATGTCATCTAATTGTAGCCGCATACATCTGGTCTTTCTTATTTTTTCCATGTTCGCATTATCAAATAGTCGCGCAGCGACAAATTGATAATTCTTCTGTCTCTTTGGCCCTCTTGATGATTCTTCTGTCTCTTTAAATATTGATAATGTCAAGAAAATCTTTAGTGAGCACAGTGACAAACTTTTTTTGAACACAGTACAGATGCAAGCGCTCATACATACACGCATATACTCATCCCTATGAACGCACACACACACCCTACCCCTATGAGCATCTTCGGGAGACTGAGTCGGCATATCATCTTGAGATTTACGAAGTCATCGTAGGCGCCCCGTCGTCGACGGGAACGTCTCCTCCCACTAAAAGCGCATCGCCTAAAATCCTGAAATAAATTCAGGAATAATGTGAGCACCAAGAGTTGAACTCTGGTGGGCTGGGGATACCACTGTCCCTCTAACCATCCAACCACAGGTTGGTTCACAGCATAGCGACAAACTGATTGATAAATTTTCCCTAGAGGAAATAAAACATGTTGTTTTAATATGGCTCATAACAAATCCCCAGGGCCTCACGACTTTACTGTTCAATTTTATCAACACTTCTAGGATTTGATCAAGTATGACTTGAAGGCCCTGTTGGATGATTTGGAGCCAGAAAAATAGACATTAGTAGTTTAAACTATAGTATTATCTGGTACCTAAGACTAAAAATGCTAACCAAATAAAAAATAGACTCATTTGTTTGTTGAATGTGAGTTCTAAAATCATTACTAAAGTTCTGATGAATAGGCTTAATTGGATAGCTACTGAAGTTATATCCCCCATTCAAACTGTTTTGTCAAAGGCAGATACATCATAGAGGGAGTGTTGATACTTCAAGAAGCTCTCAACACTATTCATAGAAAAAAAAACAAAGTGCTCTACTTCTCAAAGTAGATTTTGAAACAACATATGACAAAATTAAAATGGTCTTTTGTATTTCAAATGTTTAAAATGAAAGGGTTCCCAGATAAGTGGATAGACTTGGTTATGGAAACTATAAGAGGTGGTAGAGTCTGTGTCAAGGTTAATGATGATTTGGGAACATATTTCCCACTCACGAAGGCCTGAGACAGGGTGACTCTTTATCACCTTTGAATTTTGACTTAGCAGCTGAGAAATGGTTTAATAAAAGGAGTCCTAATTGAAAATGTTCCAAATGGGGTTAGCATGCTGCAATATGCTAATGATACAATCTTCTTGTTACAAGATGATTTTGGGAGTGCCCACAATTTAAAATATATACTCTATCTTTTTGAACAAATGTCTGGTTTGAAGATCAATTTCCACAAAAGTGAACTTTTCCTATTTGGAAATGCCACTGAAAAAGCTAATGAATACTCTAGATTTTTTGCATGCCCTATTGGTGCTTTACCAATAAAATATTTGGGGTTGCCTATAGACTAAACTGGATACCCCCTAAGGAAAAAATGGAGAAACAATGTGAAAATTGGCAAGAGAGACTACTAGCTAGTGCTGGTAGGATCACCTTATTCCAGTCCTCACTCAAAGGGGTGCCATACTTTATGATGTCCTTTTATGGACTAACTGTTGGGGCGTGTAAATGAATGGACCTTTTCATAGCAAGATTATTATGTCAAGAGAATAATGTCAAGAAAAAAAATCATTTGGTGAAATGGTCTGATGTGTGTAGACCAAAAGACATGAGGGGACTGGGAATCCAAAACCTAGCCCTAATAAATAAAGCCCTACTATGTAAACATTGGTTGAAATTGTTAACTTCAGAAGACCTATGTCAAGATATCATACTTAGTAAATATCATAAGAACCCTACTTTGAGTATAGTAGCAGCCAGGCACGGCGACTCTCAGTTCTAGGGGGAACTTTTGAAGCACAAAGAACATTTCCTTTCCCTATGTAAATTTACTATGGGTGACGGAAATAATGTCCGATTTGGGAGGACGGGTGGATAGGATCCACAGCCTTGAAAACTAGTTTCCCTAGGTTATACAATATTGTTTTGACAAAAATAAAACTGTTAGGGAGGTCATAGAGAAGGGGATTAACACAATTCATTTAGGAGAACTCTGACTGGTGACTCTCAAATTGTGGGAGTACATAAAAGGGGGAGGTGCTTCCTTTACCTTGACTGGCAGAAAAGATGAAATTAAATGGACCCTTACAAAAAATGGGATATACTCTATTAAATCTTTCTACAGACGTCTAATTGAAAATGGAATCAAATATCCACATTTCTTCATGTGCAAAATTAAAATGCCACCTAGCGTAAAAGTGTTTATGTGGTTGGCTCTTAGGAAAATCATTCTTACAAAAGATAATATGTTGCGCAGAGGGTGGAAAAGGAGACAAGAAATGTCCCTTTTGTGGACATGATGAAACTATTGATCATCTTTTCCTTACTTGCTCAGTAGCCCACCTGCTGTGGAATGTACTGAAGTGTGGGTTTAACTTGACAAACATTCTAGACAATCTAGATTCTTTGATGAGGTTTTGGTTTAAGAAGTTTGGGAAGGAAGAAAAGGATCTAGTGATGGTAGGGATCTCTGCCATATGCTGGACCATTTGGAAATTACGTAATGGAATAATTTTTGAAAACAACAAGGTTGATGACCCTTGTATTCCAGTGAATCTTTTTTTTGAAATGGCTACATGATTGGAATATTTTGCAGAAAACACCCCCAAGAAGTTAGTTGATGGTGGCTGGAGTAAAGCATGTTAGAAGAGTTACGGAAGAGGCGTTCAAAGCAGCGCATGGGTGGCGTTTAGGGGCAAGAACAATCACAACGGGATGAACTTGTTGGAGTTTCATCTCTCTGGATCGCTACCTTCCTCCAGGACAAAAAAATGTTGTGTTGTCTCCTTTATCTTTTCTCTCCGGCATATCTTTGCTCTATCTTATGATGTATTATGGGGATTAGAAAAACTTCCTCTTTTATGTTCGATACTCTGTAATGCTTGTTTGTTGATGCTGGACCTATATATGAGCCCAGGCCTTAGATCTTAGGGTGCTAGACATAAAGTGTGGAGGGAGGGATGTCTCCTTCTCTCTTTTCTCTGTAGTAGGCTGAGATGCGTGGTTTAGAAGTGCTTTCCTTATTTGGTTCTTGTAATACTTGGTCATTTCTTAATAGAAATCAAAGAGGCGATCTCCCTTTTATCAATAAATAAATAAAATAGACGCATGCAGAGGGTACATACGTTCAAATAGCCACATGCAACACTAGTTCAAATTAAAAAAAACAAATATTACATCCCAACATTGTTGTCCCCTTTGACCGCCCACTGATGCTCAATCAAATATTCCTTCAGCTGCTCATGAGTTGGTCAATGCTGAATTTGTTGATGCATTTAAATAAACTCCTCAAATGTGGCCGGATTCTGGCCCGGAAGTTGGATAGGATCACCCATGTTCTCAAATTCCAGAGCTACGAGAGCATCGTCACCCTCATCCTCGACGATCATGGTGTGCATGATCACACAACATGTCATCACCTCCCACAAGGTTTCCGGATCCATTTGTTTAGTAGGTCCATGAACAACTGTAAAACGGGCCTGCAGAACTCCGGATGCCCTCTCGACATCCTTTCCAGCTGCTTCTTGTTTTTGGGCAAAGTGAGCCATTTTCTGGCCAACTGGGTTAGAGATGGTGCTGACAAAGGTAGCCCATGGAGTATAGATACCGCCAACCAGAGAGTAGCCCATGTCGTACTCATGTCCATTGACAATATAGTGGCAATGAGGAGCTCTTTCAGTCAGCCTCGCAAACAACGGCGACCGTTGCAGCACATTGATGTCATTGTGAGACCCAGGCATGCCAAGTCCAAAGATCATGTGATG